CCACGGCATGGCAGCCTGGCTCAGATGGTCTCCCTTTTGCTCTTCTGGCAACTTGCTAAGAAGGCTGCAGATCTCTGGAAACCTTCCATCCATCACTCTTGCCTCTCCCTTATGTGTTTTCTCATGTATTTTTTGAAGCTAGCTCCTCTACCAATTCCTGTATTTCAGCTAGTCTCTGAGGAAACTTCTGGGCTGCGGAAGAGAACATCAAGGTAGATGTTTAAACTCCTCCTGAGAGCTAAAACTCACCCGATCGGGGTGTATGATAGGCTGCTGAGAGGCATTTGGCTTTTTGCTGCAAGGGATGATGATGAAGAGGTGAGGATAGGACAGTCCTGGAGTTAGAAATGGTCTGAGTGAAGTCTTCCACAGCTGACTTGTAATATACTTGTTTCCCAGCAGCTGTACAGCCGAGGGGAAGGTGGTCAGCTCTGGAAGGAGGGGATATGCAGCTGTGAGAGGGCAAAAACAGGGCTCCCCCAAGGCGCCCTCGTGGTGTGACTTAGTTGTGGAAACCCCTGAGCCAACTGCCCAGTTCCTTTTGGGTCCTCCTGTAAGCCCAGAATTAGATTATCATTTATTTATTTTTTTTTTCTGGGGGTAGGGTGAAAGTGTTTTATTAAGAAAGATTACAGCGGTTCCCCCAAGGGCACTTTCACTTCTCTGTCCTGGCTCACAGCCCTTCATGAGAGGTCACAGAAACACAGCATATCCTGAACTGGAAGGGACCCTCAAGCATCATCAGGTCAAACTCCTGGCTCCATACAGCACCACCCACAAAATCATGCCCGAGAGCATTGTCCAAATGCTTCTTGAGCTCTGTCAAGCTTGGTGCTGTGCCCATTGCCCTGGGGATCCTGTCCCAGTGCCCGACCCCCCTCTGGGTGCAGACCCTCTCCCTAACCCCCAGCCTGACCCTCCCCTCCCTGTCCCAGCTCCATGCCATTCCCTCAGGTCCTTAAACACCTTCCTGCTGATGTGTCTTTTTGCTCAGACTGGCCTATTTCTGGTGTCAGCAGCTGTGGGCAATGTAACCAGACTTTGGTGTTCCTCAGTTTAATGCTGTGTGGAATGTAGGTATTTAATGGGAAAAAAAAAAAAGTCCTCAAGAAGAAAACAGCCTGTTCCCAAAAGGTCCTGGCCAGAACCTCAGTTAAATTCAGAGAGGATGTTTTGGTGCTTTCTTTCCGTGGAGAAAGGAGAAGCATTTCCTTCAGGTTTCGATGACTCAGCCACACCATCTAAATATCTGGGGCAGTTTGAGGGGAGCTCACAACTGGAACTGAAATCAAATTCACCCAGCAAGAGACACTGTGCTTCAGGAAAGCTGGCAAACAACCCTTGTTTTGGGTCTGGATCAAGCCACCTTTCAGGGACAGACTGTGGCAAGGGTTTTTCCTTGCAGCTACTGACCCGCTGCTCGGGTCAGCATTCAGGGAACAGAGCTGTGCAGAGATGTGGTGTGTGATTCACAGTCAAGCCTGACTTACCTGGACGTGGCACCTCATGCCAGAGGAGCAGGGACCCTGAGGTCTGAGCATCCTCCTGCTGCTCACTTTGGTGCTGAAACACGCGTTCAGCAGCTTTGCTTACCGGGATACAGCCTTAAAACACAAGTGCTGTGGGCACTTCCTAAGCAATTTGCTTTCCCTGAGGGAAAGGATGAAACACCAGCGAGTTGGGACCTCGTGCCAATGCCTTGTGCAGGGTCAATAGAAAGGTCCAGTGTGGTGCCAGGAGGTCTGAGGGGTGAGGACTGGCACGTGGAAGCAAACACAGACTCACGAGCATTAAATGAAATTCTCCCAAGGGGCAAATGCAGCCTCCCCAAGTCCCAACCAAGATCCGTGACCCGGAGGAGCAGGCTTGAGCAAACATGACCCAGGAGGCAGAAAGGGCTGCAAGAGGGGTGAACAAATGGGCAGGAGCTTGCTGCCACTCTGCCCAGATCTTAATCAGACTGAAAAATGGTATGTGTGTGTGTGTGTGTGGCTCATGAGAAATGAATGTACAGCTGGGCTGATTTAAGGGGATTGATGCTCTGGGTGAGCGTCACCCTCTCTGGTGGTGACAAACACCAGATGCATCAAAAGTGGTGGTTAAAGCCCTCCGAGGGAAGCAATTATGAAATGAGATGACCCGGATGCAGATTTCTTTGCTCTTGAGCTGAGGGAGAAGGCTTAAGCAGGAGGTTTTTTCGTTATCCTTTCCAATCTTGCTTTCTTTTAATCCTTGCTAATGCAGCCTGGAAAGCTCCGGGAATGTTTGTCCTGCCCTCCTCTGAGCTCCCAGTTTCAGGGGCATAATGACTTCAGCAAGATTTGGGTGAGTGGCAGATTGAGGTAAGAAAAGGAGAGCAAATTTTCTCTCTTTGTTTTATAACTCTTCTTCCCTCTGTCTCTAAGGAAGGACCACAGTGAAGCAATGCTCTTAAAAGCAGTTCATGCCTGATAGCATTCACCTTCTCTCCCTCCCTTTTCTCTTTTTAATATTTTTTTGTTTGGATGAAATACTGTGACCTTATCCTCAAGCCTGGCTCTGGAGGCTGTGACCTGCTTTACCTTTATGCATCCTCATATTGCTCTGACAGCCTAGACAGATGTTAGGCTCAGTTGTTTCCACACACCAGCCGCTACATGGAGTTCTCATCAGCAGCGCTGAGCACTTCTGAAAATGAAGTTGCCTCTTTCAGGTGCCAAGATGAAGGTCCCTGCCAAGGCACCAAACTGATAAATGCTGCCCTGTAAACTGAAAGATCATTCATTTCATCCTAATACTGGGTGATGCGGAGGGTGTTGTGAACTGAAATCTTTTTCAATGCTTTATGATCAGACATAGGCAAGTACAGGCATTTGGAAAATGTGTTTGCTGACAAGGAGGCTCAGTGCAGCAGATGTCTGTCAAGTCTTGCAGAGCAGTGCTGAGGGATTGAGGTGCTGTATCTCAGAGGTGCGTAGATCAGAAATTTCTGATTGTTGAGCAACTGGACTGCTCTGTGCATTTTATTTACTATTTCATTCATGCGTAGGTGGGATTTGGCAGCAGCCAGAAGTTTAGCCATCCCATCCCATTGCATCAGCTGTGCAGGCTGAATTTTCATCTGGCTCCATAAGCTGCTTTTGACCAGGTTATCTCAGACTGAATCTTCTTCTGTGTGCTCTGTGTGTACCCCTTCCTTCCCCAGTTATTCCTGCCCCAAATCCTGTGAATGAACACATCTTCGTGGACATGATATAATTTGTCTTTGTGCTAGAAAGTCTTTGCTCTATTACTTCATGGTTCTCCTGAAGGATTTGTCTGGCTAGTGTTAGGAGGTCCATCAAAGTAGCTGTTGGAGCCCTAGTGACAAATAGTTAGGCCAGTGAATGATAAATACATCCAAGAACTTCATGGATAACTGCTCAGTTATTACACATGTGAGCTGGACTCAATTCTGCAGAACTGGTTCAACACAGAGGTGTGGGAGAAATAATGGGGAAAGAAGTCCAGGAGAGCCTGGAGCAGTTCTAGGGCATGGGGTAAGATGGTTATTTGTCAGTGTGGTCTTAGAAGAAAATGTAGTTGTTGTAGAGCTGGCCTTGGGGGAACGTATAGATTAGTGATTCCATCCATCTCTGATTAAAGAGCCTTGACCGTGTGTTCCTGTGAATTATGTGTCTCCTGTACTTTGAATTTCTGTTTGTAGCTGACGCTTACCCTAAGGTATTTGTTGGAAGTGCATGAAAGTTATTATTGTCCTGGGGGGCAGAATGTTCCATCTGACTTTTTTTTTTAAAGTATTTTTGTAAGCTAGGGCCTTTGCCAGTGTGAACCATGAAATGACTTGATATGCTGTAAGAACTGGCTGCCTAAGACATAGGATGTGAATACAAAGGTCACCGAAGAATTTATAGAGCTAATAATTTATTTCATCTGTCACTTCAGACAGAAGAATTACAGGCTCTGTCTTGCCCAGCTGGATAGCAACTTAAAGCTGACTGCAGACACTATTTGCGCTACAGTTTATTGCTGTTGTACGCTTCATTGTGGAGATTTGATTTGTCCTCACCTGTTCAGAAAAGTAATTTTAATGTTTGTCGTGCAGCCTCTCTTTCCCCTGAGAAACCGGACCTTTCTCTTTCAAATTGCTTCGTATGAGTAGGAAGCAGTGGGTAGGTGCTGGTGGCACCAGGCCTGTGTGACACCAAGATGCTTTATGTGCCTGTCCATCCATCCTCCCAGGTGCTCCCCTGCTAGCCAGGAGGACCACCCTGAGCCTCCTCATTTCAAGGTTTGGCTTGTGGGATCATAAAAACAGGACGGGTTGTCATCCTGACTTAGGTGGTGGTGGTCAGGCACAGGCCTGGGATCCAGAGGACAGGGATTGTAACACATCACTGGCCATGTATTTGCTTGCCTTATTATCCTTTTTCACCTTTCTGACCCTCCCTATTGTAGCCTCTTCTCACTTTCTTCACCCCAGTCTCCTCTCAAAAAAAACATCCTTTTCTTTTTTTTTTTTTTTTCCCCATAGGTCCCAGTTTTGTGACATCCTTACTTGAATTTACTGTTTCTGATACTGATATTCGGAGTTCAAGAGACGTTTGGACAATGCTGTCAGATATATCTGATTTTTGATGGTCCTGTGCAGACCAAGTGGTTGGACTTGATGATCCATGTGGATCCCTTCCAACTCTGACTATTCTGTGATTCTGTACCATGGCCTAGCAGTGGCTAAGATTGCTAAGGGGCTCGGCGTGGGCTGCTCTAGTCATCGTTGCTTGATACTGAAACATTTGGGTTCAAAGACTCAGAGATGAGCCCTTCAAAGGCACTGTGAGTTCGCTCAGGTCTGTTGTTCTTGATCTTAGTGGTGGTAATGGGGTGATGCTAATAGAGATAAATGAACAACTAGCACTTTGAAAATCCTACCTGACAGCCCACCTGAATGGATTTCGTGTTCCTGCTGCCATTTTTTTTGGCTAAAAGATAGATAAGCTTTGTTTATTTTGACTCTGCAGGCAGAAGCACTTGTGTGGGATAATGATGTATCTGCTCACGCCCAGACTGTTGCCAAGGCCAAATATGAATTTTTATTTGGCTTGGAAGAAGAGAAGCCTTCAGAAATGGGTAAGTGCTATTTATCACTAATGTGTGCAAAAACATCCTCCGAAGGCCCTCAGGAAGGAATTGCAGAAGCTGCTCCTGAATGACCCCGCGAGGGGTTGCTCAATGTGCTACGCTGCTCTTCGCTGGCACGCAGTGCAAGTACCAGACCAAAGGACCCTGATGGTTTGGCCACAGCAATCTTATGCCCCCCACCTGTCTCTGGCTCACCTGGGCCACCTCGATGAGATGGTGGGGACTTGTGTGCTGCTCACACTCAGCCAAGGGGCTGGCGGAGGAAACCTCAGCCCTTCTCTGCAGTGGAGCCATCTCAGCCACGTGTCTGCACTCTGCATGCCAAAACATGGCTCTGCCTGGCAGTCCTTCCAGGAATGCCCTTCGTGAGCTGCACGCTGCTGTTCCTACAGCTAGAGGTAGATAAGATTTTAATTTAGATATTCGAGGTGGTACCTGAACTGCTCCCTCCTCTGCATTTAGTAATTCATGTTATCCAGATGTAGTATCTAATTTTATGCCTAAGGGTCAGTCTTGTTTCTATGTTTTTCTTGTAAATAGAGGGCGTTTTCTACCTTTTCCCAGTCCAAGCTTAGAAGAAGAAAAAAAAAAAAAGTAGTTACTATACCTATTTCTTTTGCTTCATTTTAATTACCAATCCCTGCCCTCTTTGCAAAAGTATTTCCTCAGGCTGTTCTCTTTGCGCCTTGATCCTTTCTAAATTGCAAACTTTCTGGAATGTCACTTTTAATTAAAGAAGATTCCCTTCCTGCCAGAGAAGGGCAGCACTTTGTACAGGAACAAGCTGTGTATGGTCTTCCACTTCAGTCAAGAGAAAAAAAAAAAAAAAAAAAGAAAGAAAAAAAAAAAGAACAAGCAGAAGTGAGTTCTGGAAAGTGAGTAACAGTTTCTCCTGGATTTCCTAAAGTTAGGTCTTCCACTTGGGAAATCCTGGTTGCAGAGCAGGGGGAAAAAAACAAACCACACAGATGCTCTTGTTTAGGAATTTTAAAAACTTACAAATTGCCACAGAAATGTATATCGCATTCTTACATGAATCACAATGACCTCATTTCTTGTTTCGGGAGAGACAATGTGAGAGCACTGTCAGCAGGCATTAATACATTTCCGGAGATTGGCATTAAATAAAGCATGCTGTGTCTAATAAATCCAAGTGAATCTATTGTCATTACTAACCAAAACAATTATCAAATGTGATGAGCATTCTGTGCTGCATTGGTACTTAGAGTTAAAATAAAGGGCGGCTTTACTGGCTTAAGTGTGTACTTTGCCATATTTTTCCTGTGTTGCTTCTTGCCTTGTTTCTGAATCTCCTTCTGTACCTTTATTAATCGGAAGCTACCAGCAGGGGCTAACAGGCAGTGGAAAGGGAGTGACTTCCAAGGAGAGTTTCCAAATATTTAAGTGGTTAACATCTATCATTTGTGAATTGTACCCCAAAACTGTGTTGGAAGGGTGCTTTTACTATGCCCACAGAATTAATGACTGTGACAAAGACCAAGCAGAGTCTCAGAAAGGGCCCCTTCCCTTATGGTCCTTCTCCTTTTAGCAGATTCACAGCTGTCGAAATCCAGGTAGGACCTAGAAGAGTCTTCTCGCCCCATCCCATGTCCTGGCCAGCTAGACCTGTACTTGGCCAGCCTGGGATTTGCAGTCACCTTTGTCCCTCTGGCTGTGATAATGGTCTGACAAACTGTACTGCTTCTGCTGTGTGTTTTCCCCAGCCAGGATGACAATATGTGCTCTCCTCAAGGCCCCTGTTCCCCCTCCCCAAAACTCAGGTTCCCTGCTGCACAGCATTGTGCCAACCCAGACTGGTTTCTTGGTGTCACAGGCAAAGGCAGTCTCCTCCTTCTGCAAGATGCCTGGCCAAAATGGATGCATGAGAATGGCGCTGACCCTTTTTCTTCAAGGTTTCAGTTGCTTATTTATTGGAGATGAATGACTGGGCTGGCTCAGTTCACAGTAGTACAAACCCAGGTCCCTGTGCACCAAATCGTAGTTTCCTTTGATTTAACCTATACTGAAGATGTCATGGTGTATCTGCAGGTGATGAAGACTGTTTTGGGGGAAGCAGCTATGCCTGAAAGTCTTTCTGTCCTTCTTTATATTAGATGGGGATGGGAAAAAAAAACATCACTGAAAATCCAAACCAACCTGCTACTTTCTGAAGTTGCTTTTAAAATAAAGACGACATGGTTTTCATGGGTCAAAGTGTGTAAGATTTCAGACGAATGAGTGACAGCAGTAGGGCCCAGGAGCAGCACTGGTGTTTAAACTTAATCAGGAGAACAGCTTGTCGCTGTGGGCAGTAAAGCTGAACTTTCATTTATCTGACCTAAAGAGGCTTCACTCGTGCCTTGGCTGGCCTCAGAAAACGAGAACATAATACATAAGCTGCTGAATGGCTTAATTAGTTCTGCCTCCCAGTTTGGCCTTTCTCTCAGACACAGCCATATTGCCGAAGCCCTGCTGGATGCTGTTGAGAGTACGATTTTTTTAATTGGGTAGTGAAATACTTGTGTTGGAGAAGACACTTCACAGAGAGGGACAATGACTGGGGGATGGTGTAGCAAGCACTTCTGTTTGCCTAGGTCTCTCTCTGGAGACAGCAGACTGTTAATAAGCTGCTGGGCAGATTTTTGCCTTCCAGGTTTACACTAGCAGTCATTTTCACAGGTGAGAGGAGAAAAAAAAACACATCTGGTTAAATGTGTGTAGAAGAGGTGTTTCATTGCTATATTCAAATGTACGTGTTAATAAAGCTACCACATTACAAACAATTCCTCTTTTTTCTCCTTCACTGCCCTTGGTCTGTTTTTATTGGGGAGATTTGCAATCCCAGGTCGTCTCTGTACTCGTCTATTGGTCTTCAGCGTGTGACTGTCCTGCCTGGCTTTCCTTTCTCCTCTGTCCCTGGTTCTCCTCTGTCCCTGGTCATCCTCCTCGAGGCAGGTGGGTAGATGTGTGCAGGGAGGATGAGGGGACACGAATTTTCCTGCCGAGGCCTGCTCGTGGGGCTGCACCGTGCTGCCTCCGCAGCCTCGCAGCCCTGCCCTGCTCCTCGGTGGAGCCCCAGCTTTCTGCCTCCAGCAAAAGAAAATATTTTCTAAAATCTGAACTCAGCCGGAGCAGACAAGACGTCTTCTCAGCCTTGTTAACATAAAGGGCACTTGTATGGGTCTGGAAACATATCCTCCTCTGGAACTGGCCATGCTAACAGTGGTCTCTATTGAGCAGCTCTATCTCTTAGGCTTTGGCAGGCTGCAGAGTACTGATTGTTATGATTTTGCAGTTTATACATTTAAATACCAAAAAAAAAAGAGTTTTGACAAAGTGACTTAGTCCTAAAAAGTGCTTCCTTGGGGAAAGAAAAATTGGGGGGGGAGGGGAGGGCTACAAAATAATTGCTTAAAGAAACATGAAATCCCTAATCCCTGTTATTTGATGAAAGAAATCCAAGGGAGTTGTTAAGAAGCAAATATCTTCTTAAGATTCATGAACAGTCTTTTCTCTGATACTTCTAGGAGGGGAAAGCTTTCACCCCTCCTCTGTAACTAAGTGTATAATCTCATTCTTCACAAAAAAACCCTGTACAAGTAGTTCCCGGGTTGCTATGCAAATCTGGTCTTTCCCAACAGCTGCTGGAAGGAGCTTGTTTTTGAATTCCTGGTGAAACAAATAGCTTTTGGAAAGCCTGTCACTCGCTGTTTTGTGTACAGTGAGGTGTCATGAGGCAACTGAGCTCATGTAACAGCTTGCTTCTGCCAGAAGAGATGGTCCCAGCCGCATGCTGCCGCGGATTGTCTCATGCTAGCTCTTGTGCTCATCTGTTTTCTTAGCAAGTGTAAGCCGGTAAAAATGGAGTAAAAAAAAAGAAAAAAGTCTAAAAAAAGGTTTAGTTTCTCCTGGCAGTGCATGCTGAATCACCTTTCCAATGGTCAAACAGTGCCAGAGCTGATATGCAGAAGAAAATGAAATATGTACATGTACTTTAAGCCATGCCACATACCTGTTCCTGAAACTGAATCATGGCAATGAGTGCATTTGCTGTAGAATTTCTCTGGCTTCTTTCAGGAGCTAAGGAAGCACATAGTGGCTGTTTTTTTGTACACCCTTTTTCACAGAATCACAGAATAATTGAGGTTGGAAGGGATCTCAGGAGACCCTCTAGTCCAACCTCCTGCCTCAGGCAGGGTCCCCTTGAGAACATTTCCCAGTATTGTGTCCAGATGGTGGCCCTATATTGCTGATTTAAGCAGCCTTGAGAAAGTTACCCTCTTAACCTTTCTGTAAAATACATACTGCTTACTTTCTAGGTAGACCTTTGCTCTTCTGCTTTGCTTTCTTTCTCTGCATCACTTCCAGTCATGCATGTCCAGCTCTGCTGCACCCTCCTTGCACTGCGTAATGTGACACACTCATGATCCTCACTCTAAAACTTCCCTTACATCAAATTTGCTCATGTACTGCATCATCCTCATATTAGCATGGATTGCTAGCTGCAGTCTTCCCCCGTGCTTTAACCACATCTCTGTCCATGTCGATAACACCACCCTTTGTCATGTTTTCCTTTCTTGCCCTTTCGCATTTCCAGGCAGTCTTGAAAGTCTAGGCACCCTGGGCTGCTGTTTTCCTCTGCAGTTCTGCTTTCCTGAAAAGGTACAAAATTGTATTTTCTGAGGGTTGAAGGGCTGCTGATTGCAAGTCCATGTTGCAGTGACCAGAGCCTGTGAAGATAAGTACGTCAAATGTTCATTTTGGATATGCCCTGCAACATTTAACAGGGGTACATGCAAGACTGGATTCTTGGATAGCTAAAACCTGTGGTGCCCATGCGCTCCTAATTGAAATTCCATCATTCCGTTGTGCCTTCTTGAATCTCTAAGCTTACTTTTTGTTCTTTCTGCGGCTCTACTGCTGTTTCTGACACAATGAAGACCAGCAGGAGCTTTTAAGTGGTAGTTTGGTAACACTGCATTTTATCC